TATATATATATATACATAGGTATATGATAGCCTAGTTAATTTTAAAGCAATTCATGTGAAGGAACTCCTCCCAATGCTGTGCACAGCCAGTGGAATATTTATTGATGGAAACTACTTTTAAACATATATATACTCCATATATACTGATTCATAACTACAACTATAAAAACAAAAAACTAATGAAGACATCAACAATGAAAGCATAGTTTAAGCCAAGTCTCTTCTAGTATCTATAAATAATCTAAAATCAAAAGAAATCATAAGACATTCGATTTATATGTATATGTAGCCTATGTCCATTCTGTATTCATTTAGTTTTCAACTTTGAGACGTGCCATTTATTTTATTATTTTATTTTTCCGTTATCCTACTTTCACTTTTCATTTGTTATAACTCCTAGCTTAAGCCCGCTAAAATAATACATTCTAGACTGTAATCCATTAGTAAAGCCAGCCAAGCATTTACGCATTTATCTAACTATATGAGTACGCATATATATATGTAATGATATCTATATAAGGATTCCGACTCTTTTGTATCGTATTTTGATGTGTTCAAAATTCAATGCCTAAAAGTGTTTGTATTCTACTTGTCTGCCGCATCTTCATATTTATTGTAAGGCAGTTGAACGAAATTTATCTAAAATTTTCATCAAATTGCTATGCACAATAATCTCAAATCTTAACACGACTTAAATGCACAGATATTTGTGTTTGCATTTTATTTGATACCAAATTTTTGTAATAAATATGGAACAGATTGTATAAAATGGTCCAATGCCATATTAATTACGATCATCGGCATTATTCATCTCGCGTCTTCAGGAACCCATCATCGAACACCAAGTTATCCACAATGATATTGTGCTGTGAGAGATATTCAGAGATCTATATTCAAAAAGGATATCTACTTCCTATATAATAGGATGTATACTATATACCCTACTCACATTGTAGGGGCAAGTATGATTAACATTGGATCTCGATTGAATAGCTGCCAGCACCATGTACTCGAATGAGACTTTATTCCGAGCTGCTAAAAGATTACAGAAATCGCAAGTGGAATTGTATAGAAACGGCTGGAAGCTATTATAACGTCGCCAACCGCTCCAGTTGATCTATATAAAGAAAATAAATTCAATAAAATAACGAATAAAAACTAAATAAAAGTAAGTACACGTATTTTTATATTACATTTAATAGCAAACAGAGAGATTCTTATATAGCCAGAAGAATCCAAGGATTACTTACGAATATATTATCAATCGGCAGCTTCAGCATTAATATAAATACATTGGCAGAGACAACTCCTCTGCCAATGACTTTCAGTTTGCACTTCTCAAACTTCGCGAATTCGGGATCAAAACTGCTGCACTTGAGATTCGTGAATCTGGACCTTCGACTGTTTACCGATGCGAGCATCAGAAGAACTATCGCGATTGACAAAGACACAGGTGCCGGCTTCATAGCTTCATCACTAATGACATAGAGGCTACATTACTAGAGTCGATCGATGCTAAAAAATATATATAAATTAGTTCCGGATGGTCGATCTTGGAGAACTAAATGAATGAATGTTGAAAAAAATAAAATAATTATCATTAAATCTAGCTTATGAAAATACACTAAATTTATAATCAATTACTGCAGCTCTCCCTTTCTTTCTTTCACTGTCTATCTTACTCTTTCTCGCTTCCACTCTTTAATGAGAACTATTGGTAAAACGTTCTTAAGCCAATGTGTGTGATTATAATAAGATAAGGAAACGATTTTAGGTGAAGGTCACACTGTTTAGTTAGAATCAGAATTTGGGAATAACCAGCCAATGGTATTATTATTATAATTAAGAAGTTCTGATATAAATATAGATAAGCAAATGAACTAGTTTATCGTAGTTGCCATGCTGATATGCATCATAATTTCCAATGAATATTTCCAAAATGTATGTATTCATTTTATACCCTTTATTAGTGAATGTCTTGCAATATAATGCAGTTACTATATTTATTTTTTGCGATTCGTTATTCATCTCGCAGTATGAACGCTTCGACCATCAGTTTCCACTTTTTGGCAGCCATGAACCGCAATTGTATTTTGTACTCCCCTTGGGGCAGGGGCAACGAATGCAGCATTTCGTCCGTGAACACCAACTTGTCCACAATAATATCGTGCTAGAATCAATAATTTTTGGATTGTATAATTGTATATCTTCTATGTGCATATATCCCAACACTCTACTCACATTATATGGACACGTGTGGTTCAAGTTGGAGTGTAACTGTATGGCTTTCAGCACCAAGACCTCGAACGTAACCTTTTTTTCTACATTTCTTATAAGCTCGCAAAGATTGCAGCTGATATTATGCAGAAAGGGCTGGTATGTATTGTAGCGACGCCATATGCTCCAGTTGATCTGCAATGATTTAGTAATAGCAATGCAAATACCAAATCTACATAATGTCAATAGCACAAAATGAGAACAATCCGCGATTGACAATCTGATGTCCTACCTATCATTATTTCAACCATATCTTTGTACAAAAATGCTCTCCAACAAATCCCAAACATTATTTTGATTTGGAAACTCACGTGAATATTATTGATTGGCAATTTAAGCAACGTAATGTATATATCGCCGGCAATAATGCCTCTGCCAAGGACATTCAGCCTGCACTTCTCGAACTTGGCAAAACTCTCATCATAAGTGGTGCACTTGAGGTTGGTTAATCGAGACTTGGATTTCCAAGGCTTGCAGTCGATCGATGCGAGCACCACAAATACCACCGCGAACAACAAAGGCACAGTTATCGGCTTCATAACTCGTTTACTAATGAAACAGAAGCCATCCGTAATTTATATTTAGTTAAAATCATAATCTATTATCCGTTGACGGTTCATTAGTTCCGAATGGGCGGTTGCGACTCATAAAATTGTTTATTATATCAGAATATATCTATATATCAGAACTGTATATTTATAATATATAAAAACAAGTCAAAATGCTGCAGTCATGCATAGCGATTTATTTAACATAACATATTGTATTTAAACTTATCTGCAAAACGGATCAACGCACACGCATCCCTCCAAAAATTTAAGTAATTTTAAACAGCCTCCCTAACATTAGCATCTATATATTAAAAACTAAAGATATAGAAATATTATAGATGTATACAGAAGAGAACTCTTTATAAGTTGCTAATTTATAGCATAGACTACTTCTATAGGCTAATGCCAGATTAAGGCCACATCATTAAGGTTATTATTATTGCTATAAGCCAAGTTCATATAAATATATTGTATTATTATTTATTTACATATCAAATTGATTAGCAACTACCAAAATGTTTCTGCATCATAGTCCAAAACTAGAATGTTGCAAAACCTTGAACAAACTGCGCATGCGTGTTGACATTACCACTTCTCAAGCAGATGTTGCACGCAACAATGTTGCCAGGCTTGTTGGCAACACGAATGAGGAATCGTACAACAACGAAAGCTTTTAACGAACTTATGGCTACGAATAGTTCTAATTTATATGAAAATATTTCACATTCTGTGTGAATTCATTTTAATTGATGCTACGAATTTGTAATTAATTACAATATGTTTAGTTCCGAATGAGCGAGTGCATGTAATGATATGCATTTGTAGTAAAGCGGCGTAATTTGTTATATACCTAATGTGCTAACATTGAAAAGAAAATATATATTAAACCCAAATATATACAATGTGCAATATAATTTGTATTATACGCAACTGATCGGAATAAAGGCCATATTATTTAGTTCCAATTAGACTTTAAGATAAACAACACGTATTAGTACAGTGACTAACAAGTTCTCTCGTTTATAGATGGCATCTGCCTATATGTTGCTGCAACATTTCAAGTCAATACAATGCTGCCAAAGCTTCTGCTTGCGCTGGCGAACACGCGCTTTAACTTCAGCAGTCATTAGAAAGCAGCTGACGCGACGCAGCGATGTTGCCAGCCCAGTCCAGGCGGATGCCCAAGAGCCGAGCTTAGCTTTTAACTAGTTTATATCTGGCAGCCATCGAGTGTGCAACGGCCGACGGAAGTTGAAGTTGTCACCGTGACAAAACGCGAACCGATTCTTGTTATTCTTGCCTTGCCCATGGACAGCTTTAAATAGCTGCGTTTGTGCGTGTGTGTATGTGTGTGTGTGTGTGACAACGTCAAAGAAAACATTAAGCAATTTGAAATCAACGGCAAACGAGTGAAATCTGATTGGAATTTTAAATACGTCAAAGCTTTTGTGAGCGCAAACAATGAATTCACTGCCCAAATGTATTTGGCGTGCCAAAGCGACAAACTGTGCCACGCCTGCTTTCAGACGGACTGCATCAAAAATTGCTGGCGTTCAGGCACCGTTGCTGCAAGGAGAGCAACGACAGCGTCGCCTGGATGGACAGCAACAACAACGCGAGAACTCGGCAGCAGCCGCAGAAGCAGCAACATCAGCTGGACCTGCAGCAGTCTGTCCACATTTGGGTCTAGAGCAGGAGCCAGCAGCACGAATTCATGCCACAGCCGAGTGGCAGAATGCATTGCCCTACAATGAAATACCAGGACCAAAGCCAATACCCATACTGGGCAACACCTGGCGGTTCGTAATAATGAACAAAATGAAAAAAACAAAGTTTCGACCAAGTTGCTTTCACTTTCAATGAATAGCCTGCAATGCGATCAAACCAATGCACTTCCAACAAATACAAAGCGATAGCCAAAGAGAGAGGGGGAGATGGAATGAGAGAGAGTTTGCAGTTCTTTTGTTTTGTATTTCGCTTGTTTCTCTTGACCCAATTACTGTTGAATCATGAATATCATGAATGAATATGTGAATACGTGTGTATGTGTATGCTTGTGCGTGTCTGCGTAGCCAATGATGATAATCGTGTTCAAGTGTTGATTTTTGCTTGTAAGCATACATCATTTCACTGACCATGACCAAACGGGTTTCCTCGCTCCCCACCCTAACGGCCATTATGCCACACACAAATACCTAACACCAACATTTTGCGAATTCTTCTGCTTTTATCCAACTTCCCTGCCATCGATCTCCCACTCTTCCTCTCTCTTTAGCAATTTACAGCCACTTACCAATCACTGTTCAATAAGTGCTATAACAGGGCATTTGGTTAGCAGCAGCAACAGACATACGGCGCTGCTGTTAACTGCTTCTTCTTGATTAGCGTTCAATTAGCGCAATTTTCAAGGTCGACAAAATGTTTGAATCTTTCGTTGCAAGCTGAAAATAATAAGCAAACAGTAGTGACTTGTGTATTTGTTTATACAGCTATGCGAAAACCCAATGTGAGTGTGTTTGTGAATGTGTGCAAAAAACTGCACTTGGTGATGTCAAGAGAGTAATTGAGCTAGGAATCGCCATTTCGTGTTCAATTGAAATTTATCGAACAGATTATCGATAGCTTAAAGGAGTAAATTAACAGCCTGTTGCTCATCAATTTAAATTTACTAAGATAAATTAAACCTGAGGATTTTTGCCAAATTAATGCAAAAGATATACATATCGCAAATTAAGAAATGAGAATCTAACGACAATAAATTATATAAGCTACCGGTTTGATACCTGTATATTCACTTTTGACATTTAAAACGCAATTTCGGTATACAATACACACATATGTATGTTATTTCAATTATCTACTCTTCACCTTGACAGCCTTATGCCAATTATTGGCCAGTACACCATATCGGATGTGGCCAAAATCTCCTCGCTGCTGCACGACAGATACGGACGCATAGTACGTTTCTCCGGTCTTATAGGCAGGCCCGATCTGCTCTTCATCTACGATGCTGATGAAATTGAAAAGGTATGCACAGGTAGACACACACTACCAAAACTAAGCTTGCTTACACGCTCGACTGGGCACCGAGGCAACAAAGCAGCGCGACTTCAAGTACAGCATAATTTGTGACGTACGGGCAGCAAATTTCCGCCAACAACTTCAATGCCTGAGTAAATATTAATAAAGATTAAATGATTGCAGTGCTACCGCAGTGAAGGACCCACGCCTTTCCGGCCCTCGATGCCCAGTCTGGTCAAATACAAAAGCGTCGTGCGCAAGGATTTCTTTGGCGAACTTGGCGGCGTTGTGGGCGTGTAAGAATACCTATAAACATATATATATATAAGTATATATATAGTGATACCAACCTGATCTTAAATAGTCACGGCGAGCCATGGCGTCAGTTCCGATCGCGTGTGCAGAAGCCTGTGCTGCAGTTGTCGACCATTAGACGCTATCTGCAGCCGCTGGAGGTGATTACGGAGGACTTTTTGGTACGTTGCGAACAGCTGTTGGATGGTAACGAGGAGCTGCCAGCTGACTTTGACAATGAAATCCACAAATGGTCCTTGGAGTGTGAGTGTCTCCGAATAAAAAGATCCCTCCCAGATGACATCAACTTCTACCTTTCACAGGCATTGGTCGTGTGGCTCTAGACACGCGGCTAGGCTGCTTGGAGCATAACCTGACGCCAGATTCGGAGCCCCAGCAAATCATCGATGCAGCCAAATATGCTCTACGGAACGTGGCCACGCTGGAACTGAAGGCGCCATACTGGCGCTACTTCCCCACTCCACTGTGGACGCGTTATGTGAAGAACATGAACTTCTTTGTGGGGTTAGTATCCAGGCCAAGCAAGCTCAAAATACGCTAATCCTTTTTATCCATCTGCAGCGTTTGCATGAAGTATATACAAAGCGCAACAGAGCGCTTGAAGACACAGGATCCCAGTCAACGAGCAGGCGAGCCGTCGCTGCTGGAGAAGGTCATTATGTCGGAGAAGGATGAAAAGATAGCCACTATTATGGCATTGGATCTGATACTCGTGGGCATTGACACAGTAAGTGGAGGAGTAGATCCTTATCTATCCAGCCAAACTAAAATGTATTTCATCTCACAGATTTCGATGGCCGTGTGCTCCATTCTATACCAATTGGCCACGCGGCCCATGGAGCAGCAGAAAGTGCACGAAGAGCTGAAGCGCCTGCTGCCGGATGCCAAGACCCCACTAACGATTCCACTGCTAGACCAAATGCACCACCTAAAGGCATTCATCAAGGAGGTCTTCCGTATGTACAGCACGGTTATAGGGAATGGACGCACACTGCAAGAGGACAGCGTTATATGCGGCTACCAGGTTCCCAAGGGCGTACAGGTATGTCTAATCCGATATAATTTATATTCTACAAAATATAGCATTTGAATTCCAGGCCGTATTCCCCACAATTGTCACTGGCAACATGGAGGAATATGTCACAGATGCAGCCACGTTCCGGCCCGAGCGCTGGCTGAAAGAGCATCAGGGTGGTACTCCTGGCAAACTCCATCCATTTGCCTCATTACCCTACGGCTATGGAGCACGCATGTGTCTGGGCCGTCGCTTCGCTGATTTGGAAATGCAAATATTGCTGGCCAAGCTTCTGCGCAACTACAAACTAGAATACAATCATGCGCCATTGGACTATGCGGTGACCTTCATGTATGCGCCGGATGGTCCGCTGCGCTTCAAAATGACGCGTATCTAGTTGTTGTTATTACTCCTTTCTATATCTGTGTACTTTAAGATTTTTTCATATGTAAAATATATACCTTTTGGGAGTCAAAATAAAGAGGCCCTGCTATCCATACTGATGTGTTTAAACTGTGATTAATTCTTGAATTTTTTTTACTATGAATAGATTTTTAGTATTTAACACCTCGTATTTACTTGCGCTTCCACGTGTTATACCAATTCCTAACCGTTTTTATGCTCCGCTCGCCATCTGCTTTGGTTTCTCCCTTGAGCTCGTACACAATGCCCGATTTGTACGATTCTCGCGCTTCTTCCAAGATTGTGCCAAATATTTCACATTGTATATTGGACGTTAGCTTCTTCTCATTGTAGTTGCGCTCCTTGAGCCTGTCGTATAACGTTTTATTGGGACAGCTAACAACGAAGACGGCATGGAACCAACGCTCGGGAAAGAAATCACAGCCATGATATTCGACAATGTTGCCGCCCTTTGTCATCAGCGGCTCCAGATAGTCCATGAGCTACAACGAAGTAAAACTGCATTAGCTACAATTATTAATTTATATGTGCATATACCTTATCCTCATCAAGTATGGGGCAGTCGTATTCTTCATCATATTCCTCAATGAAATTCTTTTCCTTTGCAATTTTCGAACAATCCAACCAAGTAAACTTCAATTGCTCGGCCAGACGTTGGCACAAATATGATTTACCGGCTCCGGGTGTGCCTGCGCATTAATAACTTTGTGTTATTTACTTTATGTAGCTAAACAATAGTCATTACCTGTTATTAATATATTAGGCTTGCCTATTTCCGTCATTTCTGATTGTTTATGCTACAACAAAAAAATGAGAAAATTAAAAACGTGAGATAGCCAGGGCTGCAGCATACCGATACCAACTTATCGATAACAAACCGAGTAAATTATAAATATACAGCGCGCAAATCGTAAGCATTTGAGCTACAAATAAAATGAACTTGAGCTTTTACCCTTTTGCACCTGATTGTAATCAAAGTTGTTAACAAATTCGATGTTAAATGACTATAATTATTTAAAACACATATAAATACTAAACTTACTAATTTATTTAAATTAACTACTAGTTGAATAGTGACATTGCCTGTCAAAGCTATGTATTTGTATGCGCTTTGCTCTACTTCTGACATTATTTTGAATTCCTCTTTAACAGCACTTATTAGTCACAGATGCATGTGCGTATGTATCTAGTTTCTGAGAGCTCTCTTTCCCTTTTCATCACTCACATACATCTACAGAACTGGGATAGCAAAAGTTCAATTTAATTCGGTAGCTCGTAGGCGGCGGATCGCTTTTTTCTTAGCTTGATGGTATTTTTTATATGAAATGCCAAAAACAGAGGAACTTGAAGAAGCCGAGAAGCCAGGCTCAAATCTAAGCGAAGTGAAAATAGATCCAGAACGCCGTCAGCATGTACCCTATATATTAAACGGTGAGCTTTATCGCATTGAAAGTCAGATTGGGGACAATGTGACCGTCAAGTGTTGTTCTTGTCCGCCGGATCGAATATATCGGGGCAGTGTACGTTCTACGGGAAATTTTCACATGCATATCAAGGTAGGCCGAGAGATACAAGAGCAGACCAAAGCTAAGTAAACAAGTGTACAAATTTTATTGCAAATATTTAATAGCGGAGGCATGCATCTTTGCTGGGCAAATTGCATGAAATGAAGGTTGCAGCATTGGTAGAACGGCGGGATCGCATTATGAAAAACCGACGCATTGCTAAATGTCGCAAAAAATCCACATCGTCGGTCGCTATTTCAGCTTTAGCTGCAATTACCGACGGCTCGTCAATAGAAGTGCCAAACAGCACAGAGACACACGAGCTAAAAATTAAAACGGTATTTCAACGACATAAGCAAGAGCATCACGAACAGGAGGAAGCAGCGGCCATACGAACAGTAAGAAAACCTAACAAAAAAAATGTTTTGTCTTTGTTTAACTGCGTAAACGATATGAAGAGCGAGTGAGATCACAGTGTTAGTGCAGCCATGTACCGTTAGAAATTCACTTATACATATATTTATATTAATACATATGTAAATGAAAAGATAGAGTGTAACGCACACTCCAAACAAACATATGTATGTATGTATCTGTTACAAGCACATACTTGAATGAGAAATAGTGTAGTAATTCCGTATGCATGTGTGCGTGGATATATGTATATATTATGTGTGTATGTACATACTAAATAGCATTTTTACACTCTATTTGTCTCATTTTTAAGTCAATCTCAATCAGCGACTCGTCGACGGACAATAGCCAAAGTTCTGAAAAATTATCCGTTACGGCCTCAAATCAAGACAATAATAATAACAATAATATTAATTCAACGCAAGATAATAATAATTCAACGCCTAATAATAATAATTCAACTCCTAATAATAATAATCATAATTCAATTCACAATAATAATCATATTCAAGGTGTGCAAAGCGTAAGTAAACTATAAAAATTTACACTACACTGACTATCAACTATGCTATTTTGTAGCCATCAACTTTAAGTTCAACAATGTTAAGCCCCACATTTGTGCCGAGTCCTCAGATCAGACATGCTATCGACTTTCCAGCCATGGTCAGTATACCGCGCATGCTTGCTATCAATGCGATTAAGCCGGAGCAGCAGCCACAGGCTCTATATGATCAGCCGGAGGCGATCGATCTCAGCAGAAGTTCATCAATGCAAAGCGATGACATGGAGCATGGACGCTTCACCCAGGAGGTGCAGAATGTACAAATTGGCGTATCGCGCGGACAGGAATTAACTCCATTCGTTAACGGACCTCCACGCGATATTTTGATGCGCATTGACAACACTTTGGCCGATATTAAGGATGAGCTGCAGGCACGAAATGAAATCGAGCGTAAACGTTTATTGTTCGACGTGGCTAAATTTCAGTTTCTCCATCCTAATTTTAATTTCGAATCGTCCTCGTAAAAATAATAACGGCGCACATTTTGCCATTCCATGTAATTCATATGCTAAATAAAATAACATACTTTTGGTATATTTTTGTTCCAAAGAACATTGAACTAGTTACGTATTCGATTGTTAGCAGTAATCGAAACATTTGTGTGTGCGGCAATAAAACAGATTGTCTCTGAACATTAGATACGACTTCGTTTTTTTGTTTGCTATAGGTGTTTGTGTTAGATTTAATAGTATTTAATATGGCTGATAAAAAGAAACTAATCGATCTGAATGATGATCTATCAAGCGACGATGATGATGATAATATTAAGATTTTGGATACAGCAACGAGCCCAGAAAGTACAGAAGAGCCTTCTACAAGTTACTGTCAACCAATTGGGGAAACGGGGAATTCCCAACAGAAGGAAGACGTCCCATCCTTATTAACCATGGACGCAGAGCATGAGTCTGAAGCTCCGCCCACATTTGTAAGCATAAACTATTGCGATTGAAATAGCGTTACCCCCATGGAGTGACTCATGCAATAATAAATAAAATGTATACATATTCTAAAGGAGAGCATTGACTATGATGCGGGCCATATCAGTGCTAATGGGATTGCAAATAGAAATGAAAATTCCGAGCCCATTTTTCATGTACGCTCGCGTACGGCAGCATCGTTAGCTGGAGTTTCGCAACAAGAGCAAACGCAATATGAGGTAATATATATTAATTATTAATTTTATCAGTATAAATCTAATCTAAATTTGCATACAAATTTCCGTAAAGAGCCTGGACTATGACGTGTGTGAGAATAAGCTCTTTCAAGATGAGCAATTGAGCCGGTTAAGGGATCGATTCTCGCTGCGCACCCATATCATACGGTGGATCATATTTATACTAATCGGCATTATAACTGCTGTAATTGCGTGCACCATTGATATTGTCATCGAGGAGCTCTCGGAATTGAAGTACAACTTCCTCAAGTCATGTATGTGAACAGCGCTCGGTTATATTGAATCATCTCACTCTATTCTCGTTTAGCTGTCGACGATAATGTAACTGTGAATAAAAGCGGAGGCGATCTGGCTCTACCCTATTTATGGTGGCTACTGCTCAGTGCCGTGCCAGTGGCCATTGGGGCCGGAATGGTCACCTACATTGAACCCATTACCGCCGGCAGTGGCATACCCCAAGTCAAGAGCTATTTGAATGGTGTGAAGATACCCCGAATCGTACGAGTGAAGACGCTAGCCGTGAAGTCTATCGGTGTCATTACTTCTGTGGTGGGCGGTCTGGCTGGCGGCAAGGAGGGACCGATGATACATGCTGGCGCTGTTGTGGCCGCAGGCATATCCCAGGGCAAGAGCACCACATTTGTCAAGGACTTTCACATCTTTAAGGCCTTTCGCGATGACCACGAGAAGCGAGACTTTGTGCTGGGCGGCGCTGCGGCGGGCGTCTCGGCTGCTTTCGGTGCGCCCATCGGCGGCATGCTCTTCTCGTTGGAGGAGGCGGCCAGCTTCTGGAATCAGAATCTCATTTGGCGCACGCTCATCGCCTCCATCATCAGTTCGTTCACACTAAACATTGTGCTCTCTGCTTATCATGGTGTAAGCGGTTTGACATTTACGGGTCTCTTCAATTTGGGCAAGTTCGATCATCCGCTGACCTTTGAGTATTTCGAGCTGCCGCTGTTCATGCTGCTGGGCGTGATGGGCGGTCTAATGGGAGCTGCCTGGAACTTTTTGAATACACAAATCAACAAATTTCGCAGCCGCTTTGTGCCCTGGCGAGCTGGTAAAGTGTGTGAAGCTGTGCTGGTTGCTATATTGGGCGTTACCTTGGCCTGCGCCATGATTTACTACATCAATGACTGTCGCCCTCTGGGCAATGATCCCACGATACATCCTGTGCAGCTCTTCTGCGAGGATAACGAATATAATGCCGTGGCGGCGCTCTGGTTCCAAACGCCAGAGGCTACAGTACGTGCGCTTTTCCACGATCCACCAGGTGAGCTGTTCCGATTGACTTTCAAACGCTTTAACTAATTTTCTTGTTTTCTTTCAGGCTCTCATAAAATCCTTACACTGGCTGTTTTCACAATTGTCTATTACTTATTATCGTGCTCCACATTTGGGCTGAATGTGTCCTTGGGTGTGTTTATTCCCACGGCTCTAGTGGGCGCTGCTTGGGGTCGGCTTGTGGCCATGCTGCTCTTCTATATGTTCCCTGAAGCAGTAAGTTATATTTTTCCTGATGTAAATGCTGAATCTATATCTGAATATTCTGCAGCAATTTCTGCATCCCGGCAAATACGCCCTCATTGGAGCCGCTGCTAACTTGGGTGGCGTTCTACGCATGACCATCAGCCTGTCCGTTATTCTGATGGAAACTACAGGCGTGGAGACGTCCTTCTTCTTTCCACTGATCATAGCGCTAATTAGCGCCAAATGGGTGGGCGACTACTTCAATGATGGCATCTACGACACCGTCATCGAGGTGAATCATGTGCCCATGCTTCCCTGGGAACCACTGCCCCAATACAAGGGACTAACTGCCCAAGCGATCCTTAGCAAGCCGGTAGTCTGCATCAAATTGCGCGATCGTGCACATTACATCTATGAAGTGCTCCATAAATGCAATCACAATGGATTTCCTGTTGTAGATGATGTTGAGGGCGTAAGCTACTGTTAACCCCAATGGTTAGATCTTAGATCAAATCCAATTTTTGCTGCCTTTCAGGATCGTCGCTCTGAGGGACGTGTCTGTGGCATTATCTTGAGGTCGCAACTAATTGTCATCTTGCTCAAGTCGCTCTACGTGGAGAATCAACGGTTCTGGCAGCAGGAGACCACAATACAAACATTCCGAGATGTTTATCCCCGATATCCTTCCATTCAAGTAAGCAGATTTATCTACATATTATCTATTGATCTCCTATTAAAAGTAATTTTGAATGTGTTTCAATCTTTTAGAGTGTGAAACCCTTGGATCGAAAATTTAATTATACGGTTGATCTGTCCATGTTTATGAATCCATCGCCCGTGCGCGTCAATACGGTCCGTACCAGTGATCTATAAACTTATATATAGTTATTCAATTTAATATATTATTATATTTACAGTATGATTCGGTGCCCAGGATATTCAATATCTTTCGGGCCTTGGGTCTGCGCCATTTGCTAGTGATCAACAATGAGAACCGTATTGAAGGCATTATTACGCGTCGTGATTTCATATATAAATGATCTGGGATATAAGTCATTATCGTTTTTAAGCGTACATCACACAAGTTTTTTAATATGTAACGAATTTGGTTAAGTGTAAAAGTGTAATTATGTAAAAATTAGATACTTTTTATACAAATGTTTGTAACTGATCAACTTTTATATGTATTTAATAGTCTTAAAATGATATTAAGACACACAGCTCAAATAATTACGTATTATCACCAACCATAGTGTTATTATTGATAAGTGTGTGTGTGCGTGAGTTGCAAGTGCAAGTGTTTCACGCCAATATTGAGGGCGTCTACTTGTACATGTGTATGTGCAATTCGAATGCTAAGGGAGGCGTGCTTGTATGACCGTGAGTAAAAGCGAGATTATGTTATTGTGTTAGTTTAGTTTTCATATGCACATATGTGTGTGTGCATGTTCGCTTAGCACATGAAGAGCAAGTTCCACTAATCTCTCTCTCTCCCACTCTCTTTTCGATAAAAATATATCGATTCTTACTAATTGCCGCCCATTGCAGATCAACTCGCTAATGTAATTTTTCACTTCTTGTATATTTTTGTTTTGTTTTGTTTTTAATTATCTCATCAGATTTTTACAACTTATGTTATGCTTAAAAATTAGGTGTATAATCAATAGTATTCACAAGGAATTGTACAAGGTTCGTTTTGTATAAAAATACATTAGATTTTTGTGTAAAATTAAAAGTTCTGTTTGTTTTCATAAAATTGCTTAAAAGCTAAACAGACGTTGATATCAATTTAATTAAAAATTAACGAACAAACGTCACTTTTCCCCACAATCGTTTAGCAATTAAAAATTGCATTTTAAGGTTTAATTTTAAACATGCTCTCAGAGAACGGCCGCAATAATACGGACGAGCGGGCTTGTGTGAGTTTAGATTGCTTATCAACTACAAACGCTGCCGTTATAATTATTGTAAAACTAAGACTAAACGCTACTCAAGATGTTGTAGTATGCTTATTAAAGTAAATATAATTATTATTGTTATTATGATTATTATTAGGAGCAATACTACGCCTAGACTTTATATGACTTTTTGTACAAAGTGAAAAATAGCTTTGTGTGCCGATTTTCTTTGTTTTTGTTTTTGTTTTTTTGTTTTTTTTTTTTTTGGGTTTTTTCATACAATTCAGTTTCGGTTTTAGTTGGATTTCTAGTGTCGGCCAAGCATCGTCTGCAACTGCTATCACAGTTTAGTTTAAACAAACACTGGCGTACAGTGAAGCCAGCCTATGGTATAAAAGCTGCAGCGACTTCACATGTAGGCTGCATTTGGCCAGCTGGCGATGGCAACAGGTGCAACTGCAACTGCAACTGGAGGTTAGCTCTCCATTGGCCGAACTTGTTGCAGTGTTGTCTCTGCATTGCCCGCTGTGGCAGCGGCTGCTGCTGCTGCTGCGGCGCTGTTGCAATGTTGTTGCGAAGTAGCTGTTGTTGTTGTTGCTGCAGCTGCTGTTGACGATGTTTTTGTTAAGCTCACGGTCAAAATGTTGCTGCTGCTACTGCCGCTGCTGGCGTTAGCATTGTTAACAGCCGGTGTAACTGTGACAGCAGCGGCAACTGTTGCTGGTGTTGGGGCAGCTTGAGCTGTCGCCGCAACTGTTGATATTGCTGTCGCTGGTGCTAGTCCCGCAGCAACAGTTGTTGTCACGCCGCTGCTGGGCTGCAACACCTTGTAGCGCGTATAGATGCGATAAGGCGTCTTTGTCGTATCCTTTTGCTGCAGCGACTTCGTTTTGCTGGTGGCACCCCAGCCACTGGCATTGATCTGTTCGGGCGTCTTGCCAAGCAGCCAGTCATTGCAATGCTGCTGCAGTTGTTCGCTGACATGCTGCTGCAGCCATCTATTGACGTAGCTCTGGAAACGCGAGTACTTGGCTTGTGTGACGCGGCAATGACTCTGAAAATGGGAACAAACAGTTAGACTAAATAGGGTCAATTAAGAATATTCTCATGTGACTTACCTTCTTGGCACGACGCACTGCATCGTATTTGAGTAAATTGAGATTCTTGCTGGTCACAAAGCAGCGGCCGTTGCTCGTATTTGTGCTGATCTCGTCGCGATCGTTGAATGCATATTGCTCTGCCAGGCCCACCTGTGGCGTACCCAAGCGTTCAGGTGCCCGTTGCTTGCTCCAATTGTTGTTATTGTTGTTGTTGTTGTTGGCATTGGGTGTTGCTTCACTGGGCACAGCATTCGATTCGAGTCCACTGCAACTGCGCTTCTGTTCAAAGAGTTGACGCACCTGTTCCTCATGCAGCTGCGAGCGTCGCTTGTTCCGCAGCAGAAAACGTGCTTTGCGTGAACCGCGCACCAGCTGCAAAAGTGACGAGAAGAGAGAAAAAATGCCGTTAAATACATTTGCGCTATAACTGACAAATTGAACAAATTGTAAAATGCAATCGAACATGCTTTCTCACATAAACAAATGACGAAAGACGTAAAAGTACTTAAGCCTAAGGTATACGTGTCTGTGTATTTGTGTGTGTCTAAAAGAGAGTTTGTATGTGTATGTGTGTAACTAAGTATGTAAACTATTACGAGACGAGTTACAAATTTAGCTAGAGTAAGAAGAAAATCAAAAGAGAGACACAAACTGTGGAGAGTACCAGGCCAAGACTGGACACACGCACAAACACTCACTCATACACGTACGCAGACAAATAATATACTCTCTCAAAAGCACACACACATACAAATAATACATTCTCTCGCACAAACACATACCAAATAATATACTCACACACACACACAAAACAGACTAAATGAAAACATTTACATACACCAAAAACACAGAGAAAGTAAAAAGAAGTCACATTTAAAGCGTGTCTGGCAAAACCATTTTTCATACAAATAGCTAAATTAATTTTAAATGAATTTTATGCATAATAATGCGTTGTAAGGCATAAAACTTACCTTGCGTAAAACTTAAAAGCGTATACAACACACTCTATTATATGTATGTACATAATGTATGTATGTATGCGATACACCAGCTGCACTAAGCCCAAAAAGGATAACCCAATAACAAAACAAACAAAACGAAAAACAATCTTCAATAACCACAAAAACCCCAATTTGAAAAGAGCCTCAAAGTCATTAAATGCTGTTATAATTATAATATATAGATATATTTTTCAATTGGTTTTTACAATTGATATTTTTGTTTCTTTGTAATTGTGTAGAATTATAAAAATTGTCAAATATATATACATACAGATACATATATATATAAAGATGTATATATATATAACACGACTACGGCTTGCCTGCTGTAGGAGCTGGCGCCATTTTTAAAGTAATCTCTCTCACTCTCTATCGTCCCTTTACAAAAATTTGCTACGYTGAACACTTAAACTAAACGATAGTTAATACATACATACAAACATTATTTACATTTGCTTTGACTTTTATTTATACGTTTTCATTGCTCTAGTATCTTGGCTTGGAACCAACACAGTATTCGATAACATATCGATGTGACAATGGATCACCTTTTGCCACACACTGACAAACACACAAGAATGCACTCACACTCTGCACCCGTCACAATAATTCTTCTCTCCCTCACCCCTTTGTTCCTCGTCCTTTTTATAATGGACATTTTTGTATATTGCAATTCTTGCTTGAGTTTTAAGAGAAACGTAACGCAAAACATTAACGAAATTAGAAATAAATTGCAATAAATGCGTGCCTATGAATATTAGCTGGAAACTACTATTTAACATATTTATAGATGTATGCATATAACTCTTGTGTTCATTTTGGCTATGTACTAAATTTACATATGTATGTATGTTTATGTTTAAATGATTTTCAACGTTTTACATTCAAATATTCTATTGTGAATGGATGGATGGACGAATGGGTGGGAGTGTATATATATAAATGTGTGTGTATGTATGTGGTGCTGATAGTGGTGGTGTTGGTGGGTGGCTGGATGAAAACTGTTTTCGATGTGTTGTTGTTGTTATTGCGGTTTTTGGTTGGTTAATCTCAAAAAACAAATTCATTTATTACTATTTCATTTTGCAATACGACTTTCTCTTCTTCTTATTCAATGAAATTATCAAAACTATTTTGTTATTTCAAGCCTTGGAATTGACCTGGTACAAAAAATAAAGTGGAAAAAATGAGAGAAAAAATGCAGAAAAAAGCATTAATTAGTGAACATTTTTCGTTTTTTCTTCTGATAGTTTTTTTTTTATATATTATTTTTTATTTCATTTTGTTTTAAGTTTGGTTCGCATACGGATATGTGGGCGATTGGTAGGCGGCATGTTGAAATGAGACGAAACGGAAAGAAAAGAGAACGATAAAAAGAAAGTTGTTGAAAATGTGAGAGAAAACGCAATTTTTTTTTTTTTGCAAACTAAAAGGCTCATCACAGAAAATCAAAGCAAAAGAAACTTTGTTCATAACTGTCATCGCATATGAGAACTGTTAAGGCAAGTGGATGAGAAGTAAGAGAGAAAACATAAACATATATACAAACGCAATACAATAGAGCAATACGATATGCATGTATATGTACATATGCATAAAACAAAAATTTAATTTTAATAACTGTCTGGTTCGGAACTAGTTCGATAATTTTGTAAGCTCCTGGAATGACCAAAGTATCGAAGGTCTTGTTTGTTTTTATTGGAATACATTCAATTTGTACTCTACAAAAATCAATTATATTTAAGTTAATTGTCTGTTAGTCTCATATGGAAAGCTAAACAAGGAAATTTATTTCCTAATATTATTTATAAAATCCCAAAGCTTCTTAATTTTTGAAAGTATACTAATGCGGATATCTGCTTTTGAAATACATAGAATTGCATTCCCAAATATATATACATACAGTCATATATATTTATATATATATAAATATATACAGTAGAACAGGAAAGATTTGTCTGCTATAATTTATCCCACACTGTTATACAAATATTTTTGATAGGGTCTATATTTAATTCAGTTCTATTAAAATTTATTAATTTTGAAAGTTCAAGTCGTAATTAAGGTGAATTCGTAAACTTA